GAAAAGCTCCTGACCCCAAATACTTAGCTAACTACCTACAATCATCTCCTCAGCTTTATCCTTTTATCCATGTATTCTAGTCAAGTAAATATTTCCCAGATATGTTTATTTCTCACAAATGTTAATAACAATTAGGAGGAAAATGGGTTTCATGGTCAAATTACTTTGTGACAGGCTGGAATATACAAGTTGAACTCTGGGGTTTGCTGTTGTCTATTTCTGGACTCTGTATTCTACTCCATTGACCTGTTTGTCTATCCTTAAACAGCACGGTCTTTATTGCCTTGCCATAGAGTTATAGCAAGTCTTGAAATCAGATAACACAAGTCCTCCAGTTTGTTCTTTTTCAGAACAAAAGCTATTCCAGGTCTTTGGATTTCTATACAAATTTTAAAATAATTGTATCAATTTAAAATAAAAAGCATTCTGGTTCTTTGGGGTTGCATTGAATCTGTAAATAAATTTTGGAAAATTTTATCAAAGATATTGAGTTTTCCACTTCACAGCCATGGTATCTCCATTTATTTAGATCTTGTCTAACTTATGTCAGCAACGTTTTGTAGTTTTCCATATAAAGGTCTTTGATATCTTTCCTTAAACTTACTCTTAAGTATTTTATGTTCTTGATACTATTATAAACTGTATTTTTGTTTCATTTTACAATTGTATGTTGCAAATATAAAGTATGGGTAGATGAAGGAGTAGGCCTGACAGATGAAGAGACTTTACAGAAATAAAGAGAAATTAAAGCCTAAAGTGATACTTAGGACTTTCTGGATGAATTAGAATCTGGAAGAGCCCCGAATGCAGAAGATTTAAACAATACTATCAACCAACTTTACCTAATTAATATTTAATGGTACTTTCAATAACTACAGAATACACTTGCTTTTCAGTTATACAGGAAACACTAAGACCACATGTTGGGCCATAAAACAAGATTCAATAAGTGTCAAAGGACTAACATATAGATTGTGTTTTTTAACGTAGAACTAAATAGAGCTCAATGATTAAAGATATATAGGAAAATCCTGTTTTCTTCCAGATGCTTGATAGTCTTAGCTTTGAATTTTAGGTGGATGATTCACCTGGAATTGTTTATAGTATGAAGTATAGGTTGGGGTTCATTTTTTTCTTCACATAAATATTCAGTTGTTCCACTTCTTTTTGTTAAAAAAGAGTTTCATCTTCTCCAATGAGTTGCTTTGGCCCTTTTATCAAAAATCAATTGACCATAAATGTATACCTTTATATTTATATCATTTATATTTATATCAGGAATTCAGTTCAAGGCTTTCTTGCCTCCACCCCTCTTAAATATTCCCATAGGCAAGTATGATTTTTATCTTGTCAAGGCTTTTCTTGCTCTCATGGGAGTGAAGGCCTTTCATATTCTTCCGTATTCTAATTGCAATGAAAGTTGAAGTTGGGTGCTTGTTTTAGTAACCTCCTTCCCACCTCCCATACACCCTCACGCTGAAATGCATGGCAATGACTGGATTCATTGGCTAGGTTTTAGAGACTCTTCAAGTGAGAAGGAGAAAGGGTATAAATGGAGGAATGCAGTGATACTGCAGCGGGTAGGATAACTCAAGTTCATTTATAAAATAGATCCCATTTTGTCAAATACTGCTAAAAAACAAGAAGGGGACATCTAGAAGATACTGGGGCTTGACTGTGTATTTTAATTTATAGTGCTTTAGTTATTTGAACCCTAGAAATTCCATGTGAATTAACTTGTGTCATATTCCAAGGATCCCTTGCTGTCCAAATCTATTTGGTTCCTGAGTGCAGATCCTAGGAATACTATGCTATCTAAATCAATTTAATTTCCAAGTTTCGGAAAGGGAGTAACAAGTTTGAATAAGGATTGATCAGAAACATTTTGTCCCTAAATTCAGATTGTGACAAATATTTATTATATTTCAACGGATTACTAGATTCAATTTGCTAATTTATAACATGACATATTTTCATAACTGATTCTGGACTTATCTTTTTGTGTTCTCCTAGCAAGTTTTTTTTTTTTGTTTTTTTTGTTTTTTTTTTTTTAAAGGGGAACTTCGTGTGTGGGCAGCCTGGATTCTTTTTTTCTGTTCAGGGAAAGATTCATCCTGAGCTAACATCTGTTGCCAATCTTCCTTTTTTTTTTTTCCCTCCCCAAAGCCCCAGTACATAGTTGCATATTCTAGCTGTAAGTCCTTCTAGCTCTTCTGTATGAGCTGTCGCCACAGCACGGCAACTGACAGACAGATGCTGTGGCTCTGCAACCGGGAAAGGAGCCCAGGCTGCGAGAGTGGTGAGAACACTGAACTTTAAGCACTAGGCCATCAGGGCTGGCTCCCCCCTAGCAAGTTTTAATATTAGGATTACGATAAATTCATAAAAATAAGGGGCCGGCCCCGTGCCTGAGCGGTTAAATTCACACACTCCACTTCAGCGGCCCAGGGTTTCACCGGTTCGGATCCTGGATGTGGACATGACACCGCTCATCAGGCCATGCTGAGGTGGCGTCCGGCTTAGCACAACCAGAAGGATCTACAACTAGAATATACCACTATGTACTGGGGGGCTTTGGGGAATAGAAGGAAAAAAAAAAGATTGGCAACAGATGTTAGTTCAGGTGCCAATAAAAAAATGCATAAAAAGAGACAACTTGGTATCTCAGTCTATTTCCTTGAAGAGTTACTAAACCATTTCATAGATTTCACCTATAAACATGTCTAGTTTGGCAATCTTCTTTAGATATTCAAAGTATTTTTTGGTCTAATTTTAAAATTTTCCTTTTGGAAGGGAGTCTATTAAGATTTTAGACCCCTTCTCTAGTCAATTCTGATATCAAGTCAATTCAATTTCTTCATAAAAGTCACACATTTTGTTCAGATTTTCAGATATATTATAAAAATGTCTATGGTACTAACTTGTTTTTTAATTGTGATAAAATTCATAGACCATTATTTTCACCATATTAAAGTATACTGTTCAGTGGTTTTTAGTATATTCACAAAGTTGTGCAACCTATACCACTAATCCCAGAACATTTTTATCACCAAAAAAGATATAGTCCTTTTAAATTTAAATATGTAGTCACTTCAGTTTCTCATTCACAATGCTGTCCGTCATCCTAACTTCCCCACCCAAATCACTAGTTTGTCTACTTTTTTCCTGTCAAATAATCAGAATTTCTATTTTATATTACTTTTTCTTTCATTTATTTCTGTATTTTACAACTAATAATGCCCGTCTCTACCCACATTTTAGATTTATTTTTGTTTTAGCTCCTTGGGTTCTATATTGATCTTATTAATGATCTTTCTAGTATTTGAACATATGCATACATATTGGGTTATAAAACTTCCAATACAACTTTGACTGCCACTCACGTTTTTCAATTGTGTTTTCATTTTCATGCACATTTAAACAACGTGTATATTAAGGATTTAGTTCCTTAACCCATGTTAATCAAGAGGGTACACTGAATTAATATTCAGATATTTGATGGCTAGCCTGTTGTTACTATTTTCCCCATTCTGGTCAAATAAGGTGTATTTTCGGCTTTTTTGGGGAACTAATTATTGGGAAAAATATTCTCATCTCTTCCTGCTTTTTTGAGAGCTGTGCTTTCAACCACGCATCCTTACATCCACAGGGTTTCAGACTGCTATTAATCTTTGTGCAGCATAAAAGATGAAGTCAGAATGAAGACCCACATGTACTTTTCCTTTTCCTTTTAAAATTCAATGCTGACTAATGAGTGATGGGAAAAAGTTTTCCTATACTCATGACATTCATTTCTCTTTTTGCATTATGAATTCTTTCATTTAGACAAAGGTAAACAACATAATTAAAATCCTTTCCACAAATAATAATGAAAATAATTATGAAAATTAGTTATCAATGATAATAGTGGACTTTTACTAAACATTTACTACGTGATAGGAATAGTTTTAAGCACTTTATATTTATTAATTCATTGAAACCTCACAATAAACCAATACATACAGTATGATTATATTTACTAATACAGAAGAAGTAAAATGCCACTAACATACATAAGTAAAAAGTAAAAAAAATATCTGGAAGGATAAACAACACTTTGATAACAGTGCTTAATTACCTTTCTTGCATGAGATTGGGGTTAGGATTGATGAAAGAAACAAAACAGTTTACGAGGAGAAAGTATGCATAATTTCAGCAATTAAAACAGGTGTTTTAAAAGAAAACAAACAGGCATCCAAAGATAAACTTTGGGTCATATTAATCAGGGCAGATTTTATAACTGCAAACATTTAGATGCAACCATAATATGAATAATAGTCATTTTAAAATTCATTAAATATAAGTCATTAAAAATAATAAAAATCTCTATGGAAATGGCCATGATATTTTGGATGATAAAAGCAGGTGAAAGTATAATATGCAGACCATGCCTACACTTTCTTGAAAAACAAAGTCTGGTAGGGCTTGCTCTAGCAACTTGAGAGTAGTCATCTAGAGTTGGTATGATTACAATCTTGGCTTTTTAGTTTCTGGTTTCCTGTTTCATAATAAGAAAATATAAATTTGTGAAACAAAACAAAAAGATTAACAATGACTTCAACAAAATTATAATTCTACAAGGAATTAAAAAATACAAGGTCACATAATTTGAGCAGTGTAATACTGGTGTAAGCACAAATATATGGGTCAGAAAAGAAAGGACAGCCCTGAAACACAAGCAAATATAAACAAGGATATAACGTATCACCAAGAAGGTAGAACAAAATAATGGGGAAGGAAAGAATTATTGAACAACTGCCATTAGTACAACATGGGGGGAGGTGGGAGATGGGCAAATATCAATTTTGAATTTGAATCCATTACTTAGAGTGAAATACATTTGGATTAAAAAGAGACAAAATAAAATTAAGAAACAAAAAATAGTGAAAGCGAGTAACTATCAAACATGAATTTTTTTGTTTAAAATATTAGGAAGGTGATAAGAACTTCAACTTTCATTATTCATCAGTATGAATTCCCTGATGACGAATGAGATCTGAGCCACTACTAAACGCCTTCCCACATTCCCTACAGTTATAGGGCTTTTCACCAGTGTGAATTCTCAGATGTCGAGTAAGGTTTGAACATTTATTAAAGGCCTTTCCACATTCATTACATTCATACGGCTTTTCATCTGTGTGAATTCTCTGATGTTGAAAAAGTTGTGAGTTCTGAGTAAAGGCCTTCCCACATTCAAGACATTCAAAAGGTTTCTCACCAGCATGAATTCTTTGATGTTGACGAAGTTGTGAGCTCTGCGTGAAAGCCTTCCCACATTCCTTACAATCGTAGGGTTTCTCCCCAGTGTGAATTCTCTGATGATTAGTAAGTGCTGAGCCACTACTAAAGGCTTTGCCACATTCCTTGCACTCATAGGGTTTCTCACCAGTGTGAATTCTCTGATGCTGAACAAGTTTTGAGCTCTGCGTAAAAGCTTTGCCACATTCCTTACATTCATAGGGTTTCTCGCCCGTGTGAATTCTGACATGTTGAAAAAGCTGTGAGCTCTTAGTAAAGGCTTTCCCACATACTTTACATTCATAGGGTTTTTCACCCGTGTGAATTCTCTGATGGTCAATAAGATTTGAGCAATAACTAAAGGCCTTCCCACATTCTTTACATTCATAGGGTTTCTTACCAGTATGAATTCTCTGATGTTGAGAAAGGTATGAGCTACAACTGAAGGCCTTCCCACATTCCTTACATTCAAAGGGTTTTTCACCAGTGTGAATTTTCAGATGTCGAGTAACATGTGAGCCGCAACTAAAAAATTTCCCACACTCCTTACATTCATAAGATTTTTCACCAATATGAATTTTCTGATGTTGAATAAATTGTGAATTCTGACTAAAGACCTTTCCACATTTCTTACATTCATAGGGTTTCTCTTCATTATTAATTATTTGATGCAGAGTAAAGAATGTCTGTTGAATAAACGTGGGCATGTATTCATGAGTGAATATTTCTTGACTGAAATGCCCATTTTGATATCCCAGTTGTCTTTCAAAGTGGCTTCTATATTCCAAAACATCTCTAAAATTGGAGTACTCAAGGCCATGCTTTGTAAGTCCCATTATCTCCCTCTGGCATGATTCTATTTCGTAAACTTCCTTTTTTAGAGATAATAACTTCGTTTCACACATTGATTCCAGATCTGAAAGAAAATGAAATGGTAAATATTCTTTTCCCCTCTTATTTGTGACAAATTAAACTTTTATAACAGAAATGGAAAAATTAAAGTAAAAATAATATCTAGTAGTAAATGGCATACAGTTTTCAAGTATATCTGTTTAATCTGAAAAATGGACAAGACATGCAAAGATATTAATGAGATACAATGCAGGAAACAGAGGGAGGAGACTATGGAAATAGGAAACCGCAATGATTCTCAAATATTGATGTGCATCAGAATCGTCTAGAAAGGTTGATAAATATACAATGCTTGCACATATGAAAGATAACTAGTTATAATTACATCTATAGAAGCATGCATGCATGTGTATGCAAGAAATAGAGTGTATCATCATATGACATGTATTACAAAAAGTGGGTAATTTTCTGACCTCCACTAAAGGTCTCCCAAAAGGAATAAATGCATATAGAGGAAGATTCTTGGGCTCTGCAGCATAATAAAGAATAAATTTGGTCTTTGTCCCTGGTTCCTAACACAGAGCTTCAAAACCTTTTGGAATTTCCAGAGTGACAGGAGCGGTTTTTGTTATGCTAATGAGGTGACTCATGGTAGGTCCCTAGATAGCTTCAGGATGGGGACTGGTCACCAGAAAGACCAAGAAAGTGATTAGAGGATTGGAACTTTCAGCTACTCGGCCTCTGGGGGGGTGAGGGGGCCAGAGATTGAGTGGCCAATGACTTAACCAATCATGCCAATGTAAGTAAACCCCAATAAAAACTCTGGACTCCAAAGCTCAGTGGAGCCTTCTGGTTGGTGGACACACTTTGACTCCACAGGGGGAGGGTGTGGAACTTCTGCATCCAGAAACCTTCCAGAAGCCTACCAGACCTCACCCTAGTATATATCCCTTATAGTAAAACTGCAATCATAAGTATAGAGCTCTCCTGAATTCTGTGAGTCCTTCTTGCAAATTATTGAACCTGCAGGGGCCATGCAAATCCTTGAATTTATAATTGGTCAGAAGTGTGGGTGGTCTGAGGAGCCCCTGAGATTTGAGCTGGTGTCTGAAGTGAGGGCAGTCTGCTGTAGGACTTTGCCATTAACCCGTGGAGTCTACACTAACTCTGGGTAGTTAGTGTCAGAATTAAACTGCAGCACACCCTGTTGGCATGGAAACAGAATAGGCTCCATAATAAAGGATATAGTGGGTGAAATTTGAAAGAGATTATGGAGGGTTAGCCACAGACACCCTCCCTCAGGGGAATACCCTGAGATAAGTCTAAGACATTGAACAACTGATGTGAGTGACAGATAGGGAAGACTCAGAATATGTTATGTGCTGGGGACTCAGTGAAAATACTGTTTGCCCTGGAATTTTGTGATGCTGATCTTGGGAGAAGAGAGAGACCTGCTCATGTACCACTGCAGTGACTGAGACGGGAGGGAGCTAAAGTTTAAGGCAGATGGAAAGAAAATAAGACAGAGTGCAAAAGACTGCCATGGAGAGATGACAAGAACCAGAAGCAGACTGATGGGAGCTGGGTCCCAACTCTGACCGTTACTCTATGTTCCCAGGCAATGATTTAACCTTTCTAAGTCCCCGTTTCTTCATCTGTAAAAGGGATATAATCGTTAACTCATGATTACTGGGAGGGTAAGGAAAAACATATGTAAATGTCTTAGAGTAAGTTCAGTATTTGATAGCTATCATTATGAAAGCATTTCTTACCAAAAATGGGGACTTAAGGCAAATTAAACGGTTTGAAGACATCAAAATGGAGCCTACTGGAACATCTCCAGCCAGAAACAGGGAATTCATTCTAGCATCTTTTGTCTCCTACCTTTATATGATCTTTCAGCAACTTTCATCTAGTTAAGCTCCTAAGTAACTTTTAAACTAGCCTCTTCTATCTCTCCTGCCAATGCCCTCCTCCAAACCAGAATCACCTCTTACTCAGACCACTGAGGCAGCCTCCTAACCCAGTCTCCCCACCAAGGTCTCATCCTCTTTAATCTATTCAGGGACCACAATGACATTTGGCCTGGCCTTCCACTGCTCAACACCCAAACTCCTCATAGTCACTGGCAGTGTGGTTCCTACCTGTCTCTCTAACCTCGACTCACACTCCACTCTCGTTTGCTCACGGGGCCTGGCAACACTGGCTTGCTTTCAGTTCTTCAAACACACCAAGCTTTCCCCTCCTGGAAGGGCCTTCGCAGAGGTTCTTCCCTCTGCCTGGAGTTTTCGTCTTTATTAACACATTAAACAATGAGACCTAGCAGTCAGCCTAGTACTATGGGAATTCTGAAATAGTGATGAGAATAAATGATATTTCGATATGTCTACAACAACAGTAAAATGATATGCAAATACCTGTGATTTCCAGTCATGTCAAAGTCACAGGAACTACCCCTACTACTCCTATGGGTTGTTGCATACACCATAAATGGAAGAAATGCTAAATTTCAATTAGAGATTACTAAACATAAAGATGGATTTTTTCCTTCTCATCCAAGTTCATGGACTGCTTAAATTCTATCCAAAAGAATCCAAAATTAGCAACCTCTTGAGTTAGACTGATCCTTTAAAAACATAATGTCACTCCTCTGCTCAAATCATGTCATTCCAAATAGAATGGCTTTACATCTCATCGAGAAAAGAATTCAAAGCCCATCCCAAGGCCCACAAGACCCCAAGTCATCTGCAGGCACGCCCTCCCTCCCACCAGCACCCAGCACACGAACACACCTACATCCTGCTGCTCTGCTCATCTCCGTTCACACAATGCCCTCTGCTCCTTCTGCTCCAGCCACAATGGCAGGAGCTCAAAAGTGCCTAACTCAAGGACTGGGTTCTTCCTGTTCCTTTTGTCTGAATCTCAGATACTTACGTTACTTGTTCCCTCACTTCCTTCAGGCCTTGATTAAAATATCACCCCATCAGAGAGGCCTTCTCTAACCTCCCTTCACAGTACCTATTACCCTCTGACGTTATATACACCTATCTTTTCTCTCACCTTCTAGAATATAGGCTGCAGCAGAACAGAGCTTTGAATGTTTCGTTCAGGACTATAATCCCAGCACCCGGACCAATGCTTAGCATACAGTAGTGCTCAATAAATGCTCTTCTTGTCCTCCTCCTTTATATCAAATCTCTTCTCTGCCACCTCTTCCTTTCCGATATAGACACAGACCTTTTTGTTTTTCCCCACATTGTCTCTACGGACAGTGACTGCAGTCACTTGCAAGGCTCCTACCACTGTTCCATTCTGGATTAATGCCACTTCGGCATAGTTAGCCCCTGACTTTCCACTAAGCTCCCTGTCTGATTCTCTTTTACTAGATTCTACTTTGTAAAAGTTATTTATGGATGTATTTTAGCACCATTTTTTGACTCCAAGTTCTTAACAGCTGACATAATTAGCCAACTGCAGCAGCTGACAGACCCCCTTACACAAATTAGGAAATCAAAAAACGTTGGATAAAGGAAAACTGCACAACAAACTGATAAGAAAATGTCATTGGCAGGCAGCTATAACAAAGACCAGTACTTGGAGGGGAGGGCCGTGGAGATACACACACACATACATGCACACACACACACACACGCACGCGCACACACACGGATATTATTTTGGGAGTGGGAATAGAAGACATTTAGATGAGTCTAAAAGGAAGAGAAGCTAGGAAGGAACTGAATCTAAAATACAGGTAAAAGAGTTTTCTTTGGAACGGAAGCGAAGGGCACTTTCTACCTGAAATTAAGAGGTGGGTTGGAGAAGAGTAGTAGAAAGAGTAGTAAGCGAGGGAAGGAATGAAACAGCTATCTGTAAGCGCATGCTAAAAGGACTTAGTTGTTCCCAGAGACCGAGGGTTTTGATGGGAGCTTCCAAGATAGCATCTCAAAGGTGCTGTTTCTTCACTGATCAGCTGAGTAATTACCTGTAATGCCCCACCCTGTCCAATCATTTCTCACTCACCTGAACACAGGCCTCTTGTCAGCTCTCTGCCAACCATCCAGGGCTCTTTCCCTTGTTCCAATAAGGAGATAACTTGAGGCTTAGGAATATAAAATCCTGCTCACAAGAAAAGACATGGAACATGGTTATGCTGTGGGTAAAGCAGATGCAGAAATAAGATCCTGTCCCTTGAGGATCAAGGAAGAGATGCCACTACAGGAACAGCCAAAGAAAGAAGAAGATGAAGCTTCAGCCATAGCCATTTGGAGCTGCCCATCTCCCACTCTTCCTTTGCATTTCAGCTCCAACCCTTTATTTGGGACTAGGGAGCAGAAATTTAGCTGGTCACTTGAAAAGCAGCTGAGAAATTCACTGTGGAAGAAGCAGACATTCCAGAGGAGACCTTTAAATGACTGGTATAGATGTCCTTACCCATCGACACCAGGTTGCTATAGTTCTCCAGCATCACATCTCTGTACAAGTCCCTCTGAGCAGGGTCCAGGCACTCCCACTCCTCCTGAGAGAAGTCCACAGACACATCACTGAACGTCACAGATTCCTGAAATAACACATACACATATTACTTGTGTAATAAAAGAAATACTCTAGAGACTATTGTGCTTGGATTGCGGGATAAAGCAAATGAGCAGTGACACTGATGTCACTGAGAACCATAAGCTTTGGGTCTCAGAAATAGAAGCAAGAGTAATCAGTTTATTTTATATTTAAAAAACAAATTCCTGACTCAGCCCATTGAAAAGGCCTAGAAACAATAATTAATCCAGTAGCAATGAACATCTCTAGTATCTAGATTGTAGTCTCTAAGTACCATGTTCAAATAAAAGGAACCAAGGCTATTTGGGGAAAGAGAGGATCTCAGGATTGAGTTAGAAATGTACAGGATGAGCCTCAACATTCTGTTCTATCAGAAAGCAAGAGAGTTATCAAAAACTGTTAGCATCATGTTCAAAGGACTCTTGAAAATGGTCCTCCCACTGGCCAAAAATGGCATAATTTGAGGATCAAATGTCATAGGCTGATCAGTTCGAAAATGTTTAAATCCATGAGCTCATAACAATAATGGACAAAAAATTACTGGTCACCTTTGTAGGAGTCTAAGAAACCAATTCGGTATTTTAAAAACTGGTAAATAAAGGGAAAAAAAATCAAACATTCTTTCCTATATGAACTGTCTTTCAGGATAATCAAACAGTTGATGAGAAGTTTTATTTTTCAGATACTATTCCACCAAATCTATGAAAAAGGAATGACAGAATTAAAATATCATTTGCAACCTAATGAATCTAGACAATAATCATCAATGGTGGCTAACATTACAAAAGAAAGAGAATCAGATATAATGCGCCTCCTGATGGAATCATACATCACCACCTATGAAATATTCTTTTTCTTTTTTTGGAGGAAGAGTAGCCCTGAGCTAACATCTGCCACCAATCCTCCTCTCTTTGCTGAGGAAGACTGGCCCTGAGCTAACATCCATGCCCATCTTCCTCTACTTTATATGTGGGATGCCTGCCACAGCATGGCTTGACAAGCCTGGGATCTAAACCGGCGAACCGTGGGCCGCCGAAGCAGAACATGCAACCTTAACTGCTGCACCACCAGGCCAGCTCACCTATGAAATATTCTTGACAAAAAAATCCCACCTGAATCTGATGAAGCTTCTGGACCTAACTGCTAATTTTCAGGAAACACTTCAATGATACCACAAAGATGCAATCAGCAAAATCTAAACAGTGGACAAATGAATCAGATTTTTTTCTTTTCTAACAAAAAAAAACTGCACAGAAGAGCCAGCCATGGTGGCCTAGTGGTTAAGTGTGGCACACTCCACTTTGGCAGCCCGGGTTTAGTTCTTGGGCACGAACCTACAACACTTGTCTGTCAGTGGCCATGATGTGGAGGCAGCCAACATACAAAAAGAGGAAGACTGTCAACAGATATTAGCTCAGGGTGAATCTTCCTCAGCAAAAACAAAAAACAAAAAAAAACCTGCACAGAAAGAAAAGAGATGAAAGGGGTAAGAGACTCGAGAGACATATCAACCAACTGCAGTACATAATCCTTTTTTGGATTTGAATTCAAATAAACAATTTAAAAAATTAGACATTTATGGAAATCTGTACACTGAATAGTGATGATATTGACAAATTATTTTTAACTTTTTTAGATTCAGTAATGGTGAATTGTTGTTTTTAAAAAATAATCCTGGGGCCGGCCCAGTGCTGCAGCGCTTAAGTTCGCACGTTCCGCTTCTCAGGGGCCTGGGGTTCACCGGTTCGGATCCTGGGTGCAGACATGGCACCGCTTGGCACACCATGCTGTGGTAGGCGTCCCACATATAAAGTAAAGGAAGATGGGCACGATGTTAGCTCAGGGCCAGGCTTCCTCAGCAAAAAGAGGAGGACTGGCAGTAGTTAGCTCAGGGCTAATCTTCCTTAAAAATAAATAAATAAAAATTAAAAAAATAAAAAATAATCCTTATCTTCTAGAGATACATACCAATTTGTATGTGCTGCAAAATAATCCTGCAGGAGAGAGGGTAGGGAGTGTGCAGGGAGGAACCAGGTAGTGGTATAGATGAAAGAAGACTGACTCTGAGTTGGTAATTATTGAAGCTGAATGGTGAGTATACGGTAGTTCATATGACTACTCTACTTGTCTGTGCCTGCAATTTATCATAATAAAGCTTTTTTAATGGGAAGTGGTAGAAAACAGCTACAATAGAATATTTGCAGAGTAACAATCATATGTATAGCATTGATTTAAATAAACAAAACTGTGATATACCTCTGTTGTGGGAAAGGAAGTAGAGTGTGACATAGCAAATTTCCTCTCCACTATAGTCCCCGGGAGACGGCTGAGAAAAGAGATGCTCAATTATTGAATGAATGAAAATGTTAATGCTGGGTCAAAATAAGAGGGGCACCTAGGAACGGTATAGGAGTATCTGGCTAGAAGGAGAAGAAGTGGGGACCAGGATCCTGAAGGGGGACCCTGATAGCCAGAAATGTCAGGAGAAGGAAAGCAAGTGCTCACGTGCTCTTTAAATTTTTTTTTATTTCTTAAAAAGAATTGAATGTCAGGAAGATAAGAAAAAGCACCAACTCACCTGGGCCATGGCTTTCAGTATTGCAGGAGATGATCAGTCCTCCTCGGGCCTGTTCTCCTGAAAAAGGAGAGTGTCCTGAGCAGGCAGGCCTGGGGCAGCAAAGAAATGCTCCAGAAACACACTGGCCTTACAGCTCTCAGACTGACCAGGTAAAACCACCTCCACTTCCCTTGATCTTATCATACAACTCTAGGTAGCGGGAGTATGGAACAAATCCTACTCCTTCCTCAACTCCAAAAACCCTAGGCTTTAGCTACAGCAAGATGGATCCCGGCTAGTGGAGCCAAAGGAATACAGACTCAAATTCCCTCTCCTTCACCCAAGCACCCAGCTTCCTCCCTCGGCCAAGTGATTCAGGCCAGACCTTGCCCCACCTCAGCGATGTTGCTGCTCTGAACCCAGACAGAGCTGCTATGATCTGCCCTGAGCACATCCCTTCTCTGCAACCCTCAGGCCCCCAGGCAGCGCCCTTTGGCCAGGACCTACCCTCTGACCAGAAGGACTAGACTTCCCTTCAAGTCTTCTCACTTCTCAAGCCCAAGAAAGTCAGTCAACTTCTCACCACACAAGCACACCCACACAGACACACTCCTCATTCTTATGTTCTAGCTGTTTTGTAAAAATAAATAAACTTTGTTAACATGTTTTTGCCATGCAAAACAGTCAAAATGTCAGCTTTTCAGTAAACTCTTTCTTACCTATACATATTTATATAAATTTCTCTTTTTTCTATAACTTCAGTGCTTTCATTTGTTACACTTAAATCTTTAATCAATTACTTTACTTTGGTATAAGATTATTTGATAAAAGACTATGGTCTAAGATTGTAAATTATAATTTTATCTTAGTATAAAATGTGAGTTAGGAATCCTACTTAATTTTCCCCCCAGAAGAAGTTACCCAGGTCCAGCAAAGTCACATGTGAATAACATAATATTTCATGGGACTTAAATGCACCACTATTTTAAAGAAACTTTATATAAGATATAACCTGACTTCAGATATGTTGAAATGCGAGACAAAAAAAAAAAAGTGAGCCTTAGAACAGATGACTATGGAATGTATTTTCCTTACTGATTTAAATGCTGCAATTATCATAGATGATACATGTTTGTATTTACTTGTGGTTCTACTTTGGTTCAGTGATCCATTAAATGTTTTGACAGCATCACATCCTCTATTTATTATAATTTAAGAATATGTTTTAATGTCTTAATAGAAGACCCCTCCACTACACACCTATTAGAATGGCCAAAATCCAGAACACTGACAACACCAACTGCTGGCGAGGCGCAACAAGAACTCTCATTCATTGCTGGCGGGAATGCAAAATGGTACAGCCACTTTGCAAAAGAGTTTGGCACTTTCTTAAAAACATACTCTTATTATGTGATGCAGCACTCGAGCTCCTTGGTATTTACTCGAAGGAGCTGAAAAATTACGTCATGCGAAAACTTGTGCACAGATGTTTATAGAAGCTTTATTCATGATTGCCAAAACTTGGAAAAAACCAACATGTCCCTGAGTGGGTGAATGGTTAAATAAATGTGGCACATCTAGACACTGGAATATCATTCAGTGATAAAAAGAAATGATCTATGGGAGCCATGAAAAGATATATTACTAAGTGAGAGAAGCCAGTATGAAAAGCTATATACGGTATGATTCCAACTATATGACATTCTGGAAAAAGCAAAAATACGGCGAGAGTAAAAAGATCAATGGTTTCCAGAGGTTAGGAGGGAAAGAAAAAGGGAGGGGTGAACAGGCAGAGCACAGAGGATTTTTAGGGCAGTCAAACTACTCTGTATGACACCATAATGGTGGATACATATCATTAGACATTTGCCCAAACCCACAGACTGTACAACAGTAAGAGTGAACCATAATGTAAACTATGGACCTTGGGTGATAATGATGTGTCCATGTAGGTTCATCAATCGCACCAAATGTGCCACTCTGGTGGGGGATGTTGACAATGGGCTATGCATGTGTGGGGGCAGGTGGTATACGGGAAATTTCTGTACCTTCCTCCCCAGATTGCTGTAAACCTAAAGCTGCTCTAAAAAAATATAGTCTTTTTTTAAAAAAGTTCTGGCTCTGAAGCCTGTCTAGACGCAAAAAAGTAAATAACCCCTTATTACTCATCTTTTTCAAGAGTTTCCATATGAATACAGATCAGTAAAAATATTATACTGCATAAAATGAATACATTAAGGAGTTCTGACATATTTATGATGTTGAGTCATATGCTTTGATTTCAGTACTTTTTGGAATGTTTAAAACCACATGATATACCATTAAAGCAGCAGATTCATCAAAAATTAAAATGCCAAGTGACCAAGTATTAGAAAGAACACAGGATGACAACATTTATAAACTACTGGCAGGAATTTAACCGGTACAACCATACTGAAGATCAGCTCAGCATTATCTAGAAAATTCGAAGATACACACATATCCTATGGCCCAGCAATTGCATCTGTATGTTTATACCCTAGGAGAGTATGCATATGTGCGCCAGGGTACTTAGAAAAATACGTTTAGAGCAGCCCCTTCAAAGGAGCCAAAAATTGGAAATAACCAATGTCTAAACTACAGCTATATATAACAAGTGACCACAAGGGTGAGACTAAGAAATATAATATTGTGTAAGAAAAGCAAGACCCAAAACAACAGGACACAGTACAATTTCATTTCTATAAAGTTAAAAAGGCAAAACTAAACTATATTATTTAGGGATGTGTAGATATGTAGCAAACTATTTTTTTTTTCAAAAAAACCAACAAGAAAATAATTATCACCAAGGTCAAGATAAGGTTTACCCAAAGAGATGAAGAGGATCGGTTTATTCTGGGGGCAGGACTAAGAGGGCCTTCTGGAGTGCGGACACAAGCTTTTGTTATAGAGAGGTTCCCTTTATAATTACTTCTTAAACTATATGTCTATATTTTAAGCACTTCTGCATATGTATGTAATATTCAAGAATTTAAAAAAAGAAAAAGACTATATAATAGCTACAAATAATTTTTAGTGAAAACATAAGATAGGAAATGATAAATGCTGTAAGATTCCAACCTTGAAACAATGCGTACTATATGTACACAGGAAACTTATTAGAAAGAAATCGATCAAAATATTGACAGTGGTTATGTCTGGGTAGTAGTTTACTTTTGCTCCTTGTAACTTCCTATTTTCCAAATTCTTTAAAATAATCATGTTTTATGTGTGTGTTTAAAAAGAAAGTAAAACAGTATACGGGAGAAACTGAGCTATTTTCTAAATTAACATGAGAACATGGAGGAGGAAATGAGGGAGAATACTGGGATCTGTGTGTCCACACCCAGGGCTTCCCGTCATTCTCTTGGATGGAAACGTGTAGGAACCAGGTCACTTGATGAGTCTCTGTTAAACAAGACCATCCGGGAGAAGGAAAGCAAAAGGCAAACACCAGCACACCTTGAATTTGGCTTGGTCAACAGCCATTCCTCCTCCTTCCTCTGGGGACCTCTGAGAAGAGCAGGAAAGGGGAAAGGAATCCTGAGACGCCAGGCCTTTCTTGCAGCCCAGACTGACAAGATTAGAAGGGTCTGGACCCACACCCACCACCCGTGGAGAGGAGGGATGGAGAGAGGTCAGAGGAGTCTGGGCTGTCCTGAGCGTTCCTGGTGTCAGAAGGGGAAAAGTCTCTGCTGTCTGCCACCAAAATCTGTCCTGACTTCACACATCAGCCACGGGGACACACACGCTGTCACCCTGGCACAATTACAGGCACCCTCCAACCGCACACAAAGTGTCACAAAAAGTTACATGATCACACTCACTTATCCCCACAGTCACAGACATCCAGTACACAGTGCTGCTAACATGCAGTCACAACCCCACACACACAGCCCTCAGATAACACAGTCACAGCCGCATAATCAGATTACACTCCCCCCGTCCCACACTATGTCACACAAAGTTATACGAACGCACACAATCACGGTCCCTCCACGAGGACACAGTCACACCGACACACACAGCGCCGCACATTATCACAGTCACACACCTACAACGAGAATATCCAGTCACATCAGCACAAAGAGCTCCGCGCATGGTCACAGACACAATGACACACCCACCACAGGGACAGACAATCACACCCGCACACACGGCGCCGCACAGTCACGTAAGGTCACAATCGCACACATGGAATCTCACACCTCTTGCCCCCTCCCCCAGCCCAACCAACTCACACAGGCCCGAGACTCCGGACCAGCCCAAACTGTCCCTTCAGATCCTCAGGGACTCACCTGAAAGCCTAGTCAAGCCCCCGAGACCTAGGCCGCTCACCTTGCGCTTCCCCTTCTCCGGAGGCCGAGGATCCCGCAGGCAAGTGAACGGGCGACCCTGTTCCCGCGGGAGTCTCTGGGAAATGTAGTCTGGATCCGCCGGCCAAGATGGCGGCGGGCCCTCGGGTTCCCCGCCAGCGCACAGCCCGCGCCAAGCCCGCATCCCGGCTTCTCTCCCCGAGTCGCTGTTAGGAGTCTTCGAGATCCAGACGCAGGCTCGGAGTGAGGCTCCCACACGAGGCAGGCCGCAGACCCTGGAGACAAGCTTCCTCCATTGACCCGGCCAATCCCAAGGAACCATGTGTTCCCTGAGAAATAGAAAAAGGTCGCCAGGTTCGCGCCAGAAGTTGATTAGAGCCGCAAGAACTTCTGGGAAATGTAGTCTAGAGCCGGAAAGGGCGAGGTGCCAGCGCTGGTAGATGACTTTCTGCGCTGAGCTGTCCACCGAGAAGCGCGGAGCGGAGCCGCGCCCAGGAGTCTTCCGGGAGCTATAGCCGGCTCTGTGAATACTCGGGACTGACTGACTACATCGCAGTTTCTGCCTTCGTCAGTGGAGGAGAGAGGCGGGGCACGGCGCTGCTCACTAGCGGAAACCTGGGAGTCTCAGAGCCGAACAGCACCGGGGAAAGTGAAGGAGAGTAATCCAGGAGCCCGGAAGGGGGCTTTTGGGAGCCGGTTCTCCGGCGCATCAAGCAGTGTGTGTGTTGGGGATGGGATGGTAGTGGTGACTCTGAGGATGGCCCGTGTGTGTAAGGCCATAGGTGAAATTGGCATGATTCTGGGGGCGCGTGTTCTTGTACCATCAATTTTACGTGAATATTAGAGACGCAAAAAGCAAACCAGTTAGTCTGACACTTGGTTTCAAACGTGGTTTTTATAAAATCATGTTTCTCTTCTTTGCAAATGATTGTGGATGCCACACCCTCTGACGCCTTAGGGATATTGTTTTCATACGTACAATTTCAGTCTCTCTCTGCAGCGTTTAGAGTTGTACTTTTTTCCTCTCCAGTCTTCCATGGTTTGATCCTTGACTCCCTTAACTAGGAAAAGAAAAAAAAAAAAAAGATTTATTAGTGTGATCAGTACAACAGCTTTGATATGAATCCTACCCCCTTTCACCTCTTGGGAACAATTCAAAGTCACAAATGGGGACCAAAACAGCAGACTCCAGTTTCAGTAAAGTTCAGAGAAAGGAAAAGTCCACGAACTCCAAAATACACATGAGTGCTTCCCAATACAGTTGAGATTGGATAGAAGCATGTCAGAGGATAAGGACTGGTAAGCAGAGGTGAGAAGTAGTGCTTAGGAGCTCGTGAACCTATTCGAGAAAACACCAGATATAGGGGATGAAATCATTCCAGGACAAGGAGGAGCTTATACTGAAGTATAAACGTTGGAGAAGGAACTGCCATAGAGTAGAGGTCAAGCAGAGTAATATCAGGTGGAACCAATGTGCCAAGATTAGGACAGTCGTGTTTAAGGGAAAATTGATCCAGAAAAGTAAAATATGCCTTAATTTTGACCGAAGTTATTTGGTCTGTAAGATGAAGACACTTGAGCATCTAGAGAAAACCTCAAGTTGCTTAAAGGAGAGAAACTACTGAATATTTATCACCAGAAGTCAGTGCAACAAAACCAAAAGAATAACAAAGAAAGAGAGTGAAAGCCAAAGATTTTTGTCCACGATGAAGCTGCAATTCAGGTGTAATTTAGGGTCACCCTAAAATGAGGATGTGAACTAGGGTGACTTGAGAACCAGGGCAGTAATATAAAGGATAGGCTGGTTTAAGCTAATAGAATAAGCAGAGAATGATCATTAAAATATAAAAAATAGCTACAAACAAACCAAAAACAAAAACCACTAAAAGTGTTGGCTGACCCTGGCATGAGTGGAAGAGGATGGAAGAAGTAGAGTAGAAGAAGTATGTAGGGTTTGATGGAGCAGCCGTGTGTGAGAATTCTTTAGGACAAGAAACAAGGGCATCGATACAGCTATTTCAGAGATGAGGGGGAAAAAAGACCTGTGGGGAAGACAGTAAAATGTGAAATAAAATGGCTTGTTAGGAAGATTGTATGCTTCAGATTTTGACAGGCCTGAGATTCAAATCCTACTTCTGAAAATGACCGTTTGTAACCTTGAGCAAATGATTTGTGCTCTATGCACAAGATATTCCATATCATCAAAAATCTTGGTAACAGTATTTTTTTCTCAGGAGTGTCACGTGGATCAGAGAAAACGTGCGAATTAGCTTACACAAAATAAGTGGTGAAGGCTATTATATAAAACACTTCCCAACTCCTGCTTTAAGGCCAGTATTACCCTGATGCCAAAATCAGACAGAGAAATTATGAGAAAAGAAAACTAGAGACAAATATCCGTTATGGAGATACACACAAAAATCCTCAAAAGTTACTAGCAAATCAAATCCAGCAACATATAAAAAAGATTATACACTATAGATAACCAAGTAGGATTTATCCCAGGAATGCAAGGGTGGTCCAATATAATATGTCATATTAACAAAATAAAAACAAAAGCCACTTGATTATCCCAATAGATCCAGAAAAAGCATTTGACAAAACCCAATATTCTTTGATCATAAAAAGCATTCAACAAACTTGGAATAGGTTCCTCAATCTGATAATGACACCTATGAAAAATGCACAGCTAACATCATACTTAACAGTAAAAGACAAAAAGCTTTCTCCTAAGATCAGTGATAAAGACTGAATGTGTCCCCCTCAAATTCATATGTTGAAATCTGATCCCCACGTGATGTATTTGGAGGTGGGACCTTTGGGGATGATTAGGTGATGAGAGTAAAACCATCATTAATGGGATTAGTGCCCTTAAAAAAGAGACTCCAGAGAGCTCCCACACTCCTTCTGCCATGTGAGGACACAGTGAGAAGACAGCCATTTATGAACCAGGAAATGCACCCTCACCAGATAACAAATCTACCAGTGCCTTAATCTTGGACTTCCCAGCCTCTAGAACTCTGAGAAACAAATGTTTGTTATTTAAGCTACCCAGTCTTTGGTATTTTTTTTTTTTAAAGATTTTATTTTTTCCTTTTTCTCCCCAAATCCCCCTGGTACATAGTTGTGTATTCTTCGTTGTGGGTTCTTCTAGTTGTAGCATGTGGGACGCCGCCTCAGCGTGGTCTGACGAGCAGTGCCATGTCCGCGCCCAGGATTCGAACCAACGAAACACTGGGCCGCCTGCAGCGGAGCGCGCGAACTTAACCACTCGGCCACGGGGCCAGCCCCCTAGTCTTTGGTATTTTTGATACAGCAGCCCGAAAGGACTAAGACAGTTAGGAGCAAGCCTCTCCAAGGATGTCCATTCTCTCCATTTCCATTCAATATTGTGCTGGCGATTCTAGACAGGGCAATTAGGCAAGAAAAAGAAATAAAAGGCATCCAGATTGGAAAGGAAGAAGTAAAACTCTGTTCATAGATGCCTTGATCTTATGTAGACAGAATCCTAAGGAAGCCACACAAAAAAGATTAGAACTAATAAGTGAGTTTGGCAATGTTTCATGATACGTGATCAATATTCAAAAATCAATTCTGTTCCCATATGCTAGCGATGAACAATCCAAAAATGAAGTTAAGAATACAGTTCCATTTTATTAAAAAAGTAGTTAGGGATAAACTTAATGAAACCATGACAATTCAGTGGGGTAAATAACAGTCTTTTCAACAGATGGTGCTGGGACAACTGGATAGGCACATGCAAAAAGAATCAACTTGGAATTATACCTCACACCATATATAAAAATTGAGTCAAAATGAATCATAGATCAAAATGTCAGAGCTAAATCCATAAAACCCCCAGAAGAAAACATAGGACTAAATCTTTGTGACCTTTGGGTTACACATGGCTTCTTTTATATGAAAATAAAAGCACACAGGATAAAGGAAAAATTTGATAAATTAATTTCAACAAACAAAAAAATTTATGCATCAAAGAACGCCATTAAGAAAGTGAAAATATAACCCAGAGAAACTATTCTAAATTATATATCTGATAAGAATTTGTATCCATGATACATGAAGAAGTGTTACAGCTCAATAAAAAGACAAATAACCCAATTTTTAAATGGCCAAGCAACATATCTGAATAGACATTTCTTCAAAGGTGACACGCAAATGAGCAATCAGCACATAAAAAAATGTTCAACATATTAGGTATTAGGGAAATGCAAATCAAAACCAAAATGAGATAGCATTTCACCCACACCAGGATGACGAAAATAAAAAAGGCAGGCAATAAAAAATGTTACAGATGTGGTAAAATTGGAACCTTCATATGCTGATGCTGGGAATGGAAATTGGTGCAGCTGCTGTGGCAATCAGCTTGGCAGTTATTGAAAAAATTAAACGCAGAGTTACCGTATGACCCAGCAATTCCACTCCTATATATGGATGTATGTATATGTATTCCCAAGAAAATTGGAAACGTATTCACACAAAAATTTGTACACAGCTGTTCACTGCAGAATTATTCATAATAGCCAAAAAATGGAAACAATCTAAATGCCTATAAATGGATCAATGGATAAAGAAAACGTGGTATATCTATACAGTAGAATATTATTTGGCAGTAAAAAGGAATGAAGTACTGAAACACACCACAACACAATGGCCTCGAAAGCGTTAAGCTAAATGAAGATGCCAGTCACAGAAGAATAGTCTACAATTCATACAAAGCATAGAGATGCGTAAACTTTTATGCATTTCTATAAAAATTGTCCAGAATAGGCAAATCGACAGATACTTAGGGCTGACAGGGTTAGACAGAATTGGGAATGATTACTGAAAGGTATAGGGTTTCTTTTTGGGGTGATAAAAGTGTTCTTGAATTGGATAATGGTGATGGTCACACAACTCCAAGAATATGCTAAAAACGGCTAAATCGTACACTTTAGAAAAGCTAATTTTTGGGCCAGCCTGGTGGCGTAATGGTTAAGTGCACATGCTCTGCTTTGGCAGCCAGGGGTTCACAGCTTTGGATCCTGGGCACGGATCTATACACTACTCATAAAGCCATGCTGTGGTGGCATCCCACATACAAAAAATAGAGGAAGTTTGTACAGATGTTAGCTCAGGGTTGATCTTCCTCATACACACACACAAAGGTTAATATTTTTGGTTTGTGAAATATTTGGGTGCATATTTTTAAAAAATCAACTTTATTGAGTTAAAATTTAGGTACAACAAAATGCACTCATTTTAAGTGAACAGTTTGATGAGTTTGAACAAATGTATGCATTGTGTAACCATCACCATAGTCAGGATATAGGACATTTTAATTCCCACCCCAAATTTCCCTTTGACCTTGTTCAGTCAATCCCCATATTCCTACCTCAGGTCAGACATCCACTGACTTACTTTCTGTCACTATAGATTAGACCTTCTTATCCATATAAATGGAATCACATTGTAGGTGGCTTCTCTCTCTCAGCATGATGTTTTTGAGTCCATCTATGCTGTTTTCTGTGTTAGCCTTTCTTTTTACTGCTGAGTAGTATACCATTTTATGAATGTATCTGAATTTGTATATCCATTCATGTGTTTATTCACACTTGGGTTGTTTCCAGATTGGTTAATATGATTAAAGCTGCTATAAATGTTTGAGTACAAATCTTTTTGTAAACATATGCTTTCGTTTATATTAGAAAATACGTAGGAGTGGAATTGGTGGGTCATATATGTTAGTGTATGTTTACTTTTACAAGAAACTGCCACATTGTTTTACAAAGTTATTGTACCATTTTACATTCTCACCAGCAGGCTCTGAAAATTCTAGTTGTTTCACA